GCCGCCGCCGGCCCCGGGCCTGCTCCAGCCCCAGAGCCTCGACCTCTTCGGCATGCCCGTCGCCGCGCCGCCGCCCGCGCCCGTCGCGATGCCGCCGGCCTTCGCGGCGCCGGCGGCCGCGGCGCCGCCGTATTCGCCGCCGTTCGCGCCGCCGGCGCCCGCGGCGCCCGCGGCGGACCCCAACGACTGGGGCCTCGACGGCCTCGACCTCTCCGGCGGGCCCGCGGCGCCGCCCGCCGCCGCGCCGGCGCCGGGCGGCCGCAACGACTGGCCCGCGCCCGAGGGCGTCGACCCCAACGTCTGGAGCCAGCTCCCGGAGGACATGCAGCGGGAGCTGCTGCTCCAGCGCGGCATGGAGGAGCCCGGGGGCGGCCGGTCCGCGCCCGCGCCGACCGCGCCGCCGCCGCCGGCGTCGCTGCGGCCCGCGGCCGCGAGCCATGGCGCGGACGCGTACCGCGTCGCCCGCGCGCCCGCGACGGGCTCCGAGGGCGTCGTCCAGGTCGAGGTCCTCGCGCGCATCTCCCAGCGGACCCTGGCGACCAAGGTCTGGAAGCCCGCCGTCGCCGTCGTCAAGGGCCACCGCGAGCTCCTCGTGTTCCGGTCGTCGTCGGACTGGGCGCAGTACCGGAACGCGGCGGTCCACGGCGGCGGCGACGTCGACATCATCCAGGCCCTCAAGAACGTGTCGTCGCTGCTCAAGAAGCACGTCATGCTCACGGGCGCCCACAAGTGCAGCCCCATCAAGATGAAGGACTACAAGGCCGTCGGCGCGCTCCACCACTTCACGCTCGAGGAGGCGAACAACGCCGTCGTCGCCAAGTTCGCCGCGAAGCACGACGCGCCCCTCTTCGAGCTCCGCGCGGCCATCGCCACGGCCATCCGCAACGCCCGCGGCGGCGGCGGCGACTACGGCGCACCGCCGCCGAACGCGGACGCCGTCGGCCGCTACGCCGCCTAGGGCGCGTCGGCGCCCGCAAATTCCACGATATAGGTAACCCGCCCTCCCGTTTGTGTAGCGCTCCTCTCAGAGCCACTCGTGGGCGTAGACGCCCGCGTCGCGGAGGTGCTGGACGAGGTCGAGCGCGTCGCCGCGCTTGTGGCCCGCGTCGTGCGGCGGTTTGAACATGGAGTTCGTGTCCGTGTGGACCTCGACGAACATGTCGTCGATGAGGGGCGCGGCACCCGCCGCGATGAGGTGGGGGATCACGTCGTACTCCGCGCCCTCGATGTCCATCTTGACGACGACGAAGTCGTCCTCGGACACGGTCCGCTTGAGGAAGTCCGCGACGTCGATGCCGCGCCGCGTCGGCCGGTCCGCGTCGAGTTCGAGCGCGTGGGCGGCGCCGAGCCGGCGCCGCGGCCCGTCGAGCACGAAGCCGCTCCGCGTCTTCTTCTTCGTGGCCATGTGGCCCCAGGGCAGCGTCTCGTTCCGCGTCCACACCGCGAAGTGGTGCAAGTTCACGTCGCCGCGGCCCGCGTAGGTGGAATCGTACGTGTACTCGGCCTCGAAGGCGTGGACCTCGAAGCTCCGCCCGCCGGGGTAGGTCGCCCGGAACCAGTTGCCGATGGACGACTCGTAGGTATTCGCGCCGAGGTCGACGTAGACCTTGCGCGTGCCCTCCTTCAACGCTTTCGGCCCTCCCAACAAGCCGAGCTTCGTCGTCATCAGGGACCGCAGCTGGTCGCCGGTCCGCAGGTCCGCCGCGCCGCCCGTGAGCGCCTGCTTGTCGCCGTGCGCGCCGTCGCGGACGTGGCGCCACTCGTCGAGCCGCAGTTTCTCGATCGGCGCGCACGCCTTCGACTCGCGGCCGAAGCCCCGGAGCTTGGGCGGGTGGAGCCCGGGCCCGCCCCCGCGGCCCCAGAGCTCGGCGCAGGTCTGCCAGACGCAGGCGAGGCACGCGGACGCGCCGCCGACCATCGCGTCGTCGAGGAAGAGCGGTTTCCCGCAGGCGTCGCCGACGTCGGCCGCGCACGGCGTCGCGGCGACGCGCGCGACGTAACCGACGAGCGGCGGCGCGGCGACGGCGGCGCCGTCGCCGCGGAAGATGGTGAAGACGAAGGCCAGGGCGACGACCGTGACGACGGCGCCGAGGTACTTGGGCGCGTGCTCCTCGTAGTACTTGAGCGCCGCCATGCCGTCGGTGTAGACGCGGACGGCGTTCCGGATGGACACGTCGAGGGGGGTCTCGGGGAACGCAATGGTTGACTTGACGGGCTGATGCGTCGCGTCGAATTTGTGAGAGCGCTCGCCGATCGAAACGGCAGCGTCGCCTCGAGGCGCGCGCTCCTCTTCGGCGGGACATCTCCCGACGCCTCTCCCGGTTTTAAGGTCCGTTGAGCCACACGTCCGGCGGCCGGCGGTCCCGGACGCGCGCGACGGCGTCCGCGACGAGGCGCGCGGTGTTCGCGTAGGACACGTCCGTGTAGCCGCCGACGTGGGGGCTGAAGTAGGTCCGCGGGTGGCGCGAGAGCGCGTCGGCCGGGTCCCAGGGCTCCGCGGGCTTCGACGCGGCGCCCGCGCCGACGTCCGACGCGTACGTCAGCGCCGGGTCCCGCTCGAGCGCCGCGAGGACCGCGTCGCGCGAGGCGACGGGGCCGCGCGCGACGTTCACGACGACCGCGCCGAGCTTCAGGCGCCCGCAGAACTCGTCGTCGACAAAGGCGCGCGTCGACGCCGTCAGCGGGCAGGCCAGGAAGACGACGTCGCAGCTCGGAAGCGCGCCGAGGACGGCCGCGCGGCCGCCGACGGCCTCGAGGTCGGTCTCGCCGTCGCGCCACGCGCGGTGCGCGTGCGCCACCACGACGTCGACGCCCCAGGCGCCGCGGAGCCGCGCCGCGAGCGCGGACCCGACGGACCCGTGCCCGACCTGGGCAGCAAAAGGGTGCGAAATTCCCAACTTCAGAGGCTCCTATCTCGGTCGTTTTCCGCTCGTTTCGGCTGATTTTTGGACGAGCGATCATCTCTTGGAGCGCTCTCGAAGCGTGGGTGCTGTTTCCGAAACGCGCGCGCGCGGAACACTCACGTTGAAGAGACGTTGAATCACCCTTTTGCTGCCCTGGAGCCGACGACCAGCGCCCGCTTGCCCTCGAGCTGCCGCGGCAGCGGCAGGCCGCCGAGCACGCCGGCCGCGAAGCGCGTCGCCAGCTCCTCGGGGCCGCGGCGGAGCATGGCGAGCGCCAAGAAGACGGCGTGCTCCGCGGTCGCCGCGGCGTTGCCCGACGCGCGCGCGGGGCAGTTCGACAGCGCGATGCCCAGCCGGCGGCAGGCGTCGCGGTCGACGCCCTCGAGGCCGACGCCGAACTGGACGACGAGCCGCACGTCCGTCCCGGCCTCGAGGATCGCCGCGTCGAGTCGCTCCATGAAGGGGATGACGACCTGCGCGTCCGCGACCGCGGCCGCCAGCGACTCCGTCGGCGCCTGCACGAGGGCGACGCCGTCGTCGGCGAGCGCGGCGCGCGTCAGCGGCAGCGCCGCGAGGAAGTGGCGCTCGCCGCTGAAGACGACCTTGAACGGCGCGTCTGGGTCCAGCGGTCGCTCGAAGCGCCAGGAGAGCGCGCGGGTCGTCCGCAGCATCGCTGCGCGCGGCGCGGCGGTCGTCCGTGGCGTCGCTGCGCGTGATGCATTGCGCTGCGATGCTGCACGCGGTGCGGCATGAGCGCGCTGCATCGCTGCGCGTGATGCGCCACAACGCAGGCCGATAGTCGCGATCATCGTTGCCACAGTTGGTTGCCCCAATGTTGTCCCTCAACAAACTGCTTGAACATTGTATCCAACCACCTCGAAACCGGAGCGCTGGGCTGCTGCACGGCGGCCGCGACCTCCCGAGTCGCGCGACTTGCGCCCGCGGCCCCGAACGGGCGGCGTCGGGGACCTTCGGGCGAGCGCGCGCGTCGCGCCGGGGGGTGTGCGAGGCGCCGCGTCGCGAGGCCGCCACCATGGAGGAGCAGGACCAGGACAACGCGGAGCTGCTCGCGCTCCAGCGCATCGACGAGACGTGCACGAACTTCCAGCAGAACGGCCAGTACCTCGAGGCCCTGGAGTGCATGGAGCGCGGCCTCGTGCTGCGGCAGCACTTCTTCGGCGCGGGGTCCGACGAGGTGTGGCGCGCGTGCAAGACCGTGGGCGAGATGTGCAACCTGCTGGCCATGACCTACCTCCAGCAGGAGGACTTCGCCATGGTCCTCGAGCTGCTGAAGAAGGCGGAGATCCTCACGGAGCGCGACCCCGCGGGCCGCGCGGTGACGTTCAACAACCTGGCGTGCTACTACCGGCGCCAGGGCAAGTTGCACGCCGCGCTCCAGTATCTGCAAAAGGCCCTCAAGATCGAGGGGCGCCTCGAGCGCGTCGACAACCCGGCGGACACGTACCTGAACGCCTGCGCCGTGCTGTCGCAGCTCGGCCGCCACCAGTCGGCGCTCGAGCACGCGCAGCAGGCGCTGATTTTGCTCCAGGAGGAGCTCAGCAGCGTCATCGGCCCCGCGGCGGGCGGCGACGCGGGCCCGCCCAAGGCGGACCGCATCGCCGTGCTCGCCATCGCCTACCACAACGTCGGCGTCGAGCAGGAGTTCCTGAAGAAGCACAACCAGTCGCTCCAGAGCTACCGCAAGGGCGTCGAGGTCGCGGAGCGCTACCTCGGCAGCGACCACGCCATCACGACGACGCTCCGCAACTCGTGCGTCGCGGCCCGGCGCACCATGCTCGCCAAGGACCCCCAGGCCCGCCTCGCGGGCATGGGCCGCAAGCCCAAGCCGAGGTCCGGCAAGGACCCCGCGGGCATGATCACGCCCCGCGAGAGCCACGACTGAGCGCTAAGGGAGCCTTCGCCGCGACGTCGCCGGGGGGGGGCGCCGCTCGGGGAGCGCCCGAGCGCCCGACAACTCGCGCGCAGAGTAGCGTGGTAAGGGCGTCCAGACGCTCCCGGGAGTCTGGGCGGAGGTCGCGGCGGCCGCGCGGCGGGCGGCGGGCGGCGGATGGGGGCGGGTTGCGCGGCGCGCGGCGCCTAGGCCGGCACCGCGGCGGGCTCGGGCGCGGCGGGCGGCGGCTTCGGCGACGCGTCGGGCGACACCTGGCCCTGGCCGGCGGCGCCCGGGTCGCCGAGGCGCTTGTTGACCTTGTCGACGATGGCGTCGAGCTGGTCCTTGGACTCCCACTCGATGAGGTACTTGTTCGCCGGCGGGCACTTGCAGAGGTAGTTGACGTGGCGGAGGCAGCAGACCGTCGTCTGGCTGCAGTTGCAGGCGACGGCGCTGAGGAAGCACGTGTGGCGGCAGACGGCGCAGATGCGCTTGTCGTCGTAGTCGCAGGCCGCGGCGTCGATGACGTCCGTGTTGTTCTTGGGCGGCGCGACGACGGACGAGATGTCGCGGACGCCGTCGGCGTAGAGCCGCGCGCGCGAGACGACGTCCTCGCGCACGAGGCGCTTGAGCTCGTCGCGGAGCATGACGCACGCGTCGGCGTCGAGCTCGTCGACGTAGCGCGCGAGCGTGAAGATGAGCCGGTCGTGGCCCAAGACCGCGAGGCGGCCGATGCGGCGGTAGCGCTCGTTGGCGAGCTTGGCGTGCTCGATCCAGTGGGGCATGGCGAAGTTGACGGCCTCGCCGCAGTTGAAGCCGTAGCTGAAGCCGCTGTGGAAGGCCTGCGGGAAGGTCACGACGAAGGTGCCCGGCTCCTGGACGAGCTTGTAGACGGGCACGCCGTGGGCCGCCTGGGCAGCAAAAGGGTGATGGGGATTCAACGTCGCTTCAACGTGAGTGTTCCGCGCGCGCGCGTTCCGGAAAAAGCATCCACGCTTCGAGACCGTTCCGAGAGATGATCGCTCGTCCAAGAATCAGCCGAAACGAGTGGAAAACGGCCGAGATATGAGCCTTTGAAGTTGGGAATTTCGCTCTCTTTTGCTGCCCTGTGGGCCGCGAGCTTCGACGGCGAGAACTGCGTGTTCATGTGGTGGAGCAGGTCCGGCACCTCCTGGAGGCGCTGCTTGTAGAAGCGGCGGACGACGTTCTCGAAGGCGGAGGCCTTCTCGCCGGGCACGCCGTACCACTGCTTGGGCCCGCCGACGTGGTGGTAGTTGATCGACGAGAGGTAGTTGTCCTCGTTGTGCCAGGAGAACGTGGAGAAGAGCATGCCCAGGTAGAGCCAGGGCGACGTCACGCCGGGCACGGACACGGTGAAGTGGCGGAGCACGGACCCGGGCCACGACGCGATGTTGTTGAGGTTCCAGCCCGTCGCCGCGTAGTAGGCGTCGCTCGCGTAGGGCACGCCCTCGAGCTTGGCGACGCTCAGGTCCGCCCGGTCGCCGTCGGGTTTCGGGAAGCCGGACCAGAACTCGTGGACGTCGACGTCGTTGCCGTACTCGACCTCGACGGCCTCGGCGCCGCGGTCGACGGCGTCCCAGTAGTCCTCCTCGAGCGCCGCGTAGAGCGCGGCGCCGGACAGGGGCGGCGGCGGCGGCGCGCCCTCGGGCGACGCCTTGGGCGCGTGCTTCGCCGCGAGCCACTTGGCGAAGAAGTCGTCGGCCATGGCCTGGTACTCCTTGACCGTGTACTTCTTGCCGTCGCCGAAGGGCCGCGACTCCTGGAGCCGATCGACGCGCTGCCGCTTCGTCGAGAAGCGCTTCTCCGACTCCCAGTCCACCGCGCACGGCATCGACCAGCCGTCCCTACGGAGAAACACGCTCGACGCCGCCCCCCCCGCGCGGCCCCGGCGCCCCCCGCCGCCGCCGGCGACCCCCGGGCGCCCCGTCCCCGCGGCGGCCGCGGAAAACGCTCGATGCCGGGGCCCCCGCGCGGCCCCGGCGCCCCCCCCGCCGCCGGCGACCCCCGGGCACCCCGTCCCCGCGGCGGGCGCCCCCGCGCGCGCGGCGCCCGGCGGACGGCGCGGCCGCCGAAGGACGCCGCGACCGCGCGGCGGCACGATCTTGCAGATGCCGTGCGGCTCGGCCTACGAAAGGGGGGCGTCGCCGGCGACGGGGCGGCCGTCGGCGCGCGCGCGCACCTCGGCGCGGATGGCCTCGATGTAGGCCAGCGGGTCGAGGAACTCGGCGAGCGTCGGCCGGTACGTCGGCGCCGCGGGA